TGTGCCAGCCGCTGGGGAAACAGATATGAATAAGATCTTTTCCCTACTTCTTCCAGTGGTTTCTGAATGGGGGTAGCTCCTATCATACCTAGGGGCATTCATGATGTGTGGAGGTGTTTTTGTCACTGATGACATAATGACGGGGGGACTCCTGGCTGAGCCCAGGGTCACAAAACATCTTCCAGTGCAAGCGGTACTCTTCAACCAAGAGAAACCATCCAGCCACCCACCCCCAACACACCCTCAGGGCTTCCAGATAGAACTTATAGTCTAATAGAGAAAAGATGAAGTAGGGGAAATATCCTGTCATAGGAGAGATTCTGTAGCATTGCATGGCCCAAGGGAGACGTTAGTGTTGTACCTTGGCGTCATTGTGGTGGGAATTTTTGTAATGTGCCCCACAAAGTCTTTTCCCCAACTAAGGAGTCTCTAATTTAAATGAAACAATAAAACCAGAAGTCAAGTACCATAATAAAAATAGTTGATGATGAAAATGAACTATTCCACATTTTTATGATAAATCACCAAAAGGTAGGTGAAGATAATAGCAAATAGCATTCCAGTTCTTTCTCAAAGGACGTTAAGTTCATTATAGCTCTCTGTAAGTGCCCAAAAAGCATCATAGGATGATTGTTACATTCTTCCCTCCCCAGTCTGTCTCTTGGGAGAAAATATCAAGAGGGAAGAGTGTTTCCTCCCACGGAAGTCATGTAAGCGGAAGAGCAAAGTGTAGCATTTAACTAGACCAGGATTCATCAGTTTGCATGACTGACATTTTAGGCGAAGAGTTCTCTTTTGTGGAGGCTGACCTGGAGATTGGAGGATGTTGAGGGCCATCCCTGGCCTCTACCCAGCAGACACCAGTAGCATTCCCCCCGTCAGCTGTGACAACCAAAACTGTCTCCAGATATTGACAAATGCCCCAGAGGGAGGGACACAAAATTGCCCCTGATTGAGAGCCGTTGAACTAGATCTTGTTTTCTCATCCCCCTCAAGCCTGAGTCAGATATTCAAGCTCTATCAGAATTTAGCCATGCTGGCTTTTCAGGTGTGTAGACAATACTGTTCACAAATGTCCACAGGCACAGGGATGCCTGGGTGGCTCAGTGGTTTAAGCATCTGACTTGATTTCGGCTCAGGTCATGATCTCAGGATTGTGAGATCAAGCCCCGCTTGATTGTTAGATCAAGCTCCATGCTCCACATTGGGCATGGAGCCTGCTTCAGATTCCCTCTCCCCTTTTCCGTCTGCCCCTCTACCCTCCCCACCTCCTTGCACTCTCTCTGTCCAAAAAAAAAAAAAAAATTTGTCCACTGGCAGTGAAATTTTCATGGGCAGAAGGGACCACTGGAAGCTGCTATGTTACCAACTGGCTCTCTCCTTCTAGAGACAGGAGTTGGCATCTCATGCTGTCTTCCCAGCATTGCACTCTTCTTCCTGCTGATTGCTCAAAGGAAAACCTACAGGAGCCTCAGGGATAATGACAATTTCTCTTTTACCTCCGTAGCAGAACTCCCAGGTGTATGAGTAATGCTGTCACCTGAAGCATCTTTTTAAGTCTCCAGAGAGAGCTGCAGTAAATTACAGCGTATTGCAGGGAACTGTGATGCTGAAAAGGAAAGAAAGTCCTCTGAAAGAAAGAAAGAAAGAAAGAAAGAAAGAAAGAAAGAAAGAAAGGAAATTATGAGCAAGATAATTTTGTAGGCTGCTTGATTTAGCTCCCTTTCCACTGGAAATTTCAGACCAGCTTCAAGGGCGTGTGCCTGCGATCTGGTTTGTCCCATGTGGTTAGTCCATTTTAAGAATGATGCCACACTTGGGTCGCTCTTTTCTCCACAGCTGCACATCTGGGTTCAGTGGCCACCCTCCTCCCCCCATTGGTCCCTAGTGAGGAGGAACTTGCCCTTCCTTCCCTGTCCTAGAGCTCTGTACTTCTCCTTCTGCAGGAGAGGAAAGCTGTGTGGGGAAGAAGCAGCACCAGGGTGGATGTCAGTGCCTTTATTTGTCTTCGATCCAGCTCTGGGCGTCCACGGCCTCTCCAAGTCCCCCAGCAAAGGGTGGCTGTGCTGCGGAAGATGGAGCTTCAAAAAGCTTTTCGGGAACTTGAATGAAAGTGACAGACTTGCCCCCTGCAAACAAATCACCACCAACTGTGATCTCCAACCCAGAGAAAGAGATAGGAAAACAGATGTAGATGATGAGTTGAAATTTAAAAAGAAAAAAAAAAAAAAAAAAAAAAAAAAGCCAAGAAACAAAAAAACACACACCTTACTTCTGTTTCATTGAAAAAAAAATTTAAACAGATCATGATTTGCGTGGAGTGGTGGTGGTGGTAGTTTGTTTTCTTTGGGTGCTTACCCTTTGCCAGCTGCTACACTAAACACTTTATATATGGAATATTTTATTTCATTTTCCCCAAAACCCTAGATAGTGGATTCTGATATTATCCCCATTTTATAGATGAGGACACTGAAGCTCTATGGGTTTTCAGAGCTTGTACAAGGTCTGAAAGAGCAGGGATTTAACTCAGGTGTCTTTCTCGTAGGAGACTTGGCTCCTGCCAGCCATGTCCTACAACAGTGCTTTTCCCCCTGTAGTGTGAATCCCCCCAGAGGCCACGTGAGCACTGGGATTGCTGACCTCACACCAAGAGTTTCTGATTCTGGAGTGGGCTGAGAACTTGCATCTCTCACCAGTTCCCCCAGTGATGTTGATGCTGCTGGTTCAGGTCCTGCACTCTGAGAACCCTGACACCACATCCCACTTCCCAGAAAATAGTATAAGCACCGACTTCGGAAATCTGGAATGCAAATGACTGTGGTCAGAATTGAGCACTGACTGTAGACCTGTGCACAGAGAGATAAGAGCTCCAGTTTCTAGAGCATGTCTTCTGAGAGCATGGTGTCATGAGACAGAGATAATTGACCTGTTGGAGGTTTTATTCTGGTATTCCCCTTGCTGCCCAACATTTCCGAGAATACAGTCACACTGCCTCATTAAATAAACGTACCACCTCCATTCACTCATACTAAAACTCCATTCTTGAAGTCCAGTAGTATTCCGTTACAAGGATGACATTTCATTTTCAAACTATACGTAGTTCCGTTTCTTTTGATTCTGTAAGACCTAGTATACGCTGATTTTGTGTAAACACTGGGACCATTGTGTTTGGAAAACATCGCCAGAATGGTAATACTCATGAGCGCAGAGGGTAGACTTACTGCGAAGAATTGTTTCCAAATCTTGGATCAGGTCGTGTGTCCAATGAACTAATTCAACAAAAACTCTTGGGTGATTTTACTGGTAATAAGAATAAGTAAAAAGTAGTAGGAGAAATGTTATTTAAAATTTCCTGATTATGGGTCCTTCCAAAACAATAGGCACTTTGAGAACACATTTTTGCATTCTGACTGATTGAGTTTCACCTGAAGTAAGATTCCAAAGGCACTTTTGAAACCTGAAATAAAGCTGATTTACTTGTTGATAATCTGTTCTGAAGCCTTCTGAGCTAGTTCAGGAGAAAGGCTTTGGCACCTTACCTCTCTGCCACTTAATAGCCAAGATAACAGCCCAGGTGTGAAACTACCAATAAAAAGACCATTGTCCTACAGATGAATTCAGGAAACAAATAACATCCTGAAATTGGCTTCAGTGCTTTTGCTATAAGAAAGTGAGTTGGAGGAAATCAGAGGGGAGACAAACCATGAGAGACTGTGGACTCTGAGAAACAAACTGAGGGTTTTGGAGGGGAGAGGGGTGGGGGGTTGGGTGAGCCTGGTGGTGGGTATTATGGAGGGCACGTATTGCATGGAGCACTGGTGTGGTGCATAAACAATGAATTTTGGAACACTGAAAAAAAAATAAAATTTTAAAAAATGTTATACTATTATACGGAACTGAATTCTACACATATTCTAAAGGGAAACAGAGACTGGTGGTATGTGGGTTCCTTGGGCTCCTTTTCCCAAATGCCTTAGGCAATATCAATTCCAGGGGGATAACTTCAACAACAACCACCACAACAAAACACTAATTGTCTGGTGACTTCAGGCGTGGTCCGTTTTCCTTCAGTTTTGAGTCAGGAATAAACTACCTGCGCTGTTTTGTGCTAACAGCTGTGGCTAGACATATCCAGAGGCTGAATTTTCCAGAACCCAAGCAAGGATTCTCTTGTGAGCTTCTACGTTCCAGCAAACAGTGACTGGAAGCTATTTGCGAAAGACCAAGAGCACATCTTTGTTTTGCTCATGAACAGACTGCTGCATGGGAATTAGCACAGTGGATATGTAGGTGGGGGACCCTGCCCTCCCGCTGGCAACAACAACGGGCAGGTTGTCATTTTCTTGGAGACCCTCACATGAGGAGCAAAGGCGAGTTGTGCAGCCTCGCAGACACTTAGTTGCTCTGAGACTGGTGTCTTCATCTCCTGCCTCCAGCACAACCAAGGAAACGTTCGGGGCTAATTCCCCCAGGGAAGTGGGGTCCACAGGGATGCTGTGGACGGTTTTTTTTCCCCCCTCCTGCCTCTGTGGCTGCCCAGAGGTATTTATCAGCGTGTGCAGAGCAAAGCCCCTGTAGTGTAAAGTAAAATGCTCCCCAAAGCGGTTTAGGAGACGGGGCGTGTGTGTGTGTGTGTGTGTGTGTGTGTGTGTGTGTGTGTGCGTGCAGAGAACGTGCGAGCAAGAGCGCTGAAATGCAGCTCTCGTCTTTGCATGCGAAGAGTCGCTCCACGTCCCCCTCTGCCCAGCGCACTCGGGGAGCGCCAGGGGGAGTCCTCGCAGGCCAGGGCTTCCCGCGCCCCGGGAGCGCCGAGGGCTCGCCTGGCGGAGCTTAGCGCAGCTCGCTCGGCGCTGCCAGCCCCCGGAGCGGGCGGGGGCGGACACTGGGCTTCTGTGTGCCAGCCGCAGCCGTTGGCTGGCGGGCGCCCAATCCCGGGGCATGCCGCCGGAGGCTGGCCTGGACGCACGGTGAAAGACGAGTGTGGTGGCAGGCTTGACCCCCCGGGCTGCCCGCAGAAGCCGGCGGCGGGAGCCTCGGCGGTCGGGCCGCGGCGGCGGGGCTGGACTGGGCTGCAGCGGTGGGAGCCGGGCCGCCCCGGGGTCCCAGGGAAGGGGGAGGCATGGCTTCGGTGTTCATGTGCGGCGTGGAGGACCTGCTGTTCAGCGGCAGCCGCTTCGTGTGGAACTTGACCGTGTCCACGCTGCGGAGATGGTACACGGAGAGGCTGCGGGCTTGCCACCAGGTGCTGCGGACGTGGTGCGGGCTGCGGGACGTGTACCAGGTGAGCCAGGGCGCGCGGAGCCGCGGGGCCCTCGCAGGTTGCCGGGCGCTCTTGGGAAGCCGGTTCCACCTGTATGATTTGATTCTCTCTCTCTCTCCTTCCACCTCTTTTTTTAAACTCCCAGCGGGCTGCTTGATTCCTGGGTCCAGTGTTCAGCATCCGTGGATAACTGTTGCCTGACAAAGCTTGTGAATTTTCCCTACTGGGCATGGGGACACTTGCGAGTTAGCACCAGCATTTGCAGACATCTGGTTCAGAGCGATGGTGTACTGCCTGGCACCTAGCTCAGAAAGCTAGCTAGCTGGAGCTTTGCAGCAGAGGGTCTGCGGGAAGCGACTTTGACATTCAGATGATTCCTCCTTTTTTGCTTTATTAGTGTGGATGGGGGTGAGCACTTCAGGACCGAGGATTTCACACTGATTTATGGTCAGAGGGGCCTTGCTGGATGGGCATTCTTTCCTTTGATTTTATTTCAGTTTTCCACCACGCAGCCCCAACTTGCAAGGCAGAGCCAGGAAAAGCTGATTCGCTGTCTACTGGCTTTTGCAGGAAGGACAGCAAATTGTGAACACTTTGCAGGAGGATGATGGCTAGGGTAGGGAGGGGTGGCCTGGCAGATGGTTGGAATGCTTACGTTTGGTTTTACTCCGCTCACACAACACAGCCTCTTTATTTCCCTGCTAGGTCCCATCCTGCAGGCAAAAAATGCAGCAACTTTGTTCAACTAGGAGACCGTTCATCTTCTCTGGGACTGCAGCTTCCCTGGATTTTTTTTTTTCTTCTTTTTGACAGTCATTTGTGGATTTAAAAGTCCTTTGCCTGGGTTGGTTAATATCTTTGAGATTAAAAAAAAAAAATCTACATTGCATTTAGGAAGATTATACCTGGTGTTTACTATGGGACTGTATCACCACGTTTTCTTCCCTGTGACGTGGAAGCAGCTCTATTACAGTTCCTGGATGCCCCCTACCCTGACCCCGTGCCCACTATGGCTATCATTTATATCTCATCATACTGGGTCCTATATGTGATCAAGGCTCTGGTTTTGGCAGGCTGTAGTCTTCCATTCATCAAGCAAAATGAAAAGAGCAACCCCTGAGGTTAAACTGAGGGGATGTAAAGAACCAGCATCCCCTTGTCCTTGTTGATGTCCGCCCGTATCATCCTGGTTACAACGTGAGCGGCATTTCCTTCATCCTCTCAGGACTCCTGCTTTAGAGAACATGTCTGTGATGTCTTGCATTTTGGGAAAATTCAGAAGCCAGACTGAGATGCTGGATGGCCTGTGGGGGGTTTGAGAGTATTATGGAGCCATGGACCTATGCCTTCTGGCCACAGTACACAGATTACCTGGTTTTGGGGAGCCAGAATTGTCCGCGTCTCAGTCTTTTTGTCTTTAGGGAAATCATTGTTGCATTGGTCTGTAGGAGAAGTGACCCCCATAGAGTTTTGTTTTTGCTTTTCAATGTTGGAGAAACTTTCAAATGGAGAACAAAAATATTGGAACCAGACAGCCTCTATGCATCTCTGCTCAAGGTTCAGGGGACGTATTCCTTATTTCTTTGCTGTTAGTGACTAATGAGGTTAGGTTCCTGAATCCTGAGACACACACACACACACCCCATCATGGATTCTCTGTAAGTTTTATTCAATCATTATTCGTTAGCAGAACAGCAGCTTGAAGGACTATCCTACTAAATTGTAAGTTCTTTTCTGTAAAATGGGTGGTTACTGAGTCACAACCCTCTCATGATAATAAGAAAGAGCATCTAAAATAATGGTAGCCATTTTTATGCGTATACTCATAAGCAGGAAATTATCTCTAAAGTTTCCTGGGCTTTGGGAGAAGTAAGAATTCTCAAAATATTTTAAAACTTGGGAGAATCATGGATTTCTTAATTGTACAACACAAGTTAATTGTTAGCAAAAAAACACCATTTTCATGAATGTCTTTTAAATACTGAGCAAGAAAATAGTGACTTAAATATGTATAGAACTGAAAGGCAGTAATATGAAGCGGTTGGTACCTTGAGCTCCAAGTTAGAGAGACATAGGAATAAATCCAGTCTCTGCCTATGTTTGATCATACGTAAGTTACTTCATCTTACCCCGAATCAGTTTATCATTCATAAAATGGCAAATACAATGTACTAATCACAGAGGTTGATAAAAGAATTAATTGAGGGGTGCCTGGGTAGCTCAGTGGGTTAAAGCCTCTGCCTCTGGCTCAGGTCATGGTCTCAGGGTCCTGGGATTGAGCCCCACATCGGGCCCCCTGCTCAGCAGGGAGCCTGCTTCCCTCTCTCTGCCTGCCTCTGCTACTTGTGATCTGTCAAATAAATAAAATCTTTAAAAAAAAAAGAATTAATTGATACATTAGATATTTAGCACATTGCCTAGAGTTTAGGAAGCATCCCGTAAATGCCATCTGCTCTGTCTGGGATTTATAATAATAGGAACCCCAACTCTAACCTACAAAATAAAAAGAAGGGACTTTTGACAAACTGAAAAGTTTAGCAGTTGATGAACTTCAGGTATGGTTTGATCCAGACACGATGTTTGTTGTCCATGATACTTTTAGCCTTGTCTTTTTCATGTATCGGCTTTTTCTTTAGCTGGTTTCTTTCCTCATGATAGCAGATAGCTATAGCAGTTCTAGGGCTTAGATCCACATATGAACCCATCTAGAATGAAAAAAACATTTCTCATCAAAAAATCCCAGTTTTCTCTCTCATAGATTAACTTAAGGTCTGTGCCCACCCCCAGTGCCAGGCACTAAATGGCTTGGGAAATGAGATTATAATTCAGGCATTCTCAATGGGAGTGATAGGACATCCCCCCCCCACCCCGAGGCAACAATTATTTCTTGGGAATGGGAAGGGGGCACAAAAAAATCCTACTCTTTTTGTGTATAAAGCACAGATATGCATACAATACCTAAACAGAGATACTGTATATTTTTGGCATTAGAATTTGCTGGGGGAGGGGGTGACTAGCAAACAAAAAACTATCTATAAGACTCCTTAAGATGATGATAATGAGTGTAACTGTTGAGAAACACTAATTATACTGATAGGCTTGGAGCAGTGGGGGAGCAGACCCATTTCTGCAGCTGGGAGTGAGGTTGGTCCCAGGCTGACCACAAAGCTGCCAAACAATGGGGAGGGTCAGTGCTCAGTTGGGGTCCAATCTGCAATGTCCACTGCACCTGCCTTTTTAGAATCTCAAATCTAGAGCTCTTTAAATAAAACAGTTATTTGCCTAGATAAGTACAAAGATTCACGGCAAACGCATTTCTAAGCATTTTGCCACAGTAATTCAAGTTAACGGGGTGGGGGCTCATCTATTAGAACACCCTTATTGCTCTCCAATAATTACAATTTCTCAATCAGTGTCCGGTGGTCCTGACCAATTTACTGGCACATGAACTGGAAACCCCGTAGGGTTACATATTTTATTGAACCCCATTTTTTATCATCTTGATAATGAAAAGGCGTCATTTTCTTGCTTCTAGGCTGAAACGTCTTTGTGGGAAATCCAGGGCTCAGTGACTCCAGAGAGAAAGAAGGGTGGTGCAGGAGGTATTTATTACATGAAATACCTGGCAGTTCCCTGGGAGTGTTTTGTGTATTCATATATTATAAGTGAAATAAGATCTCCCACCTATTCATATGGAATTTGGCAACAACACCATCCCTGGCTGGCACAGCTGGGAAGGCATAATTTCTTTGGAATTGAACACTTCCTTTACGCCTAGATATTGGAGAGGCATGAGACTTGATTTGCCAAAAACCATGAATAATTAAGAGACTAGCTATAAGGCATTTCTGTAGTAACACGACTAAATAAAGAACAGGCGGGGGTTGTACTGGGGCTGCCTTTGAACAAAGACTTACTTTATGAGTGAAGGTCTGATTTCGGTTAAAGTCGCAGGCGGGACATTCACCTTCAATTTGGAGCTAAATCTTAAAAGCTGATTCATCGGCCATATATCTGTCCTGCTGATATCTTGCCTGGATGGGTTCTGTAATAGCAATTAATTAAGTTTAACAAACAACTGAGGTGGAAAATGATGGGAGAATGTGCTTGAAAACAATCAACACCCCTTTGCTTTTTGTTCAGTGTGACATAGTTTAACAAAGCCCTCAGTTTGTTCCTTGGGATTAAGTTTTCCCCTCATCCCGACACCTCAAAGGTAGAAATTCTTGCTAACCCTGAATGGAGTCATTGCCTGCAGCAGCAGGTAACTTGGACAGAATCCAAGATATTTAAGTGGCCGTAAGAGGCTGGGTCAGCTCCCCTGGGGCAGGCAGTTAGTCCTGAGGAGTAGCAGACCATGCAGACCAGGCAGAGGTTGTAGGCTCCAAGTCCAGCAAATTTGACCTTGACCAAATTGCTTTCCCTCCTTGAGCCTCCTGGGTCAAAGGGGAGAACTTCAGTACCTGCATAATGGGCAGGATGAAAAACTCATGAGATAATATCTGTAAGACTGAACACCCTGCCTGGTTCAAGCCAATGCTCAATTAATGTTAGCTCTTGGGTATGTATAGTACTTAACACCAGACCATAGAAGGTCCTTGATGAAGGGTAGCTAAGGGTGTTAACTCTTGTTCTTAGAGGTGATACTAGTTCTCTGGAAACTAAATTCCCATCTTTGCAGGCAAGGATATTAAGTAAGAGAGACTGTGGCTTCCCTCAGTATATGTATATTGGGTGAGCCTTGGGATTTGCTCTTGGATTCACACAGTAGACCACAATTTTTTTTTTTAAGATTTTATTTTTATTATTTATTTGACAGAGAGAGACACAGTGAGAGAGGGAATACAAGCAGAGGGAGTGGGAGAGGGAGAAGCAGGCTTCCCACTGAACAGGGAGCCCCAGTGCAGGGCTTGATCCCAGGATCTGGGATCATAACCTGAGCCGAAGGCAGATGCTTAAGGACTGAGCCACCCAGGCACCCCAACATTTTGTTTAAGCCAATACAAAAAATCTAGGAGATT